AATATTAAAGTTCACACTAATAGCAAAGTTATGCATTGTCAAAGATATAAGTTTTCCATAAAAGATAGATCATCGGAAAGAACAAAGAAAAGCTGATGCCTCTGAACTGGGGTGCTGGAAAAAATCACATCTCTGGCTACAGGAATAATTAATTACTAAGTAAAGTAAAATCAGACTACTTCTAATAGCAGTCTGATTTTACTTTACTTATTATTCTTGTAGCCAGAGGTGTGGTTTTTCCAGCACTCCAATTCAAAGGCATCAGCTTTTCTTTTCTAAAGTCTGTACAAAGTATAATTTGTTCTTTTCTAGAATGTAATTATTTCAGTAGTTGTAAGTTCATGCTTGTGATAACCAGTGTCATCTTTTGCGTTTTTATTATCGTCAGGATCTTCAAGCATCAGGGTCTCCTTTGATTATTCTGGACTTCATAAAATCTTATAATGTTCATAAATAATATTCAAATATTTAAGCTTTAGATTATTAGATAATCTAATTTAGGTCACCAACATGAGGGTAATGCAAATGGTTTGCAGTTGTATAATAATCTAAAGCTTGAACATTTGAACATTATATGAACATTGTAAGATTTTATGTAGTCAAGAATTATCAGAGGAGACCTTGATGCGTGAAGATTTTGAAGATAGTAAAAAATGACTAAAGGGAGACAAACCAGCTATCACAAGCATGAACTTAAAACAACTGAAACAATTACACTCTAGAAAAGTACAAATTACTCTTTGTACAGTCCTATAAATGCTTATTCAGAAGACTCATTTTTTTCAAATATAAGATTATCACATAACTTTTATTTTAAAATTTTAGTCCAATCAATATAGTTAACATGTGCTAAGTCACATATAAAATGGGATATACAAATACATAATACAGCTTGAATTATGGCAGGGGTAGGCAACTTTGGCTCTTTTATGGCTTGGGGACTTCAATATCCAGAATTCCTAAACCAGCCATGCTGACTCAGGAATTCTGGGAGTTGAAGTCCACAAGTCATAAAAGAGCCAAGGTTGCCTAACCCTGGCTTCAGGGAAGCAATATTATAAAAGGTTTATCTATGGTTTATCCTAGATTTCTAATGATTCACAAATTTGTGCATCATCCAAACCTTGATTATATATATTATCCTAAGGTTGACTACCTAAGCAATTTTTAGGCTCAAAGAAGAATATGGCCTAATCCAGCAAACATCTGTTTCTCCTAGTTCGGTGAACTAAATATTCTACTACTGAGATGACCATAAGCCTAAAACCAAACCAAAATTAAATAAAAACTTCCTTTTGATTAGCCATTAGATGTTAGCTGACATGGAGAGCAACCAGAAAACACCAACTGGTTATTATTTTTATGTTATCAGTATAGTAAGTATTTTATCTATGCTTTCACTAAGCAAGGCTTCACTATACTGTACTGGATCTTTCTTATGCATTTCTAAAGCTAGCATTATTTCAATCTGAAGCTCAAAAAATGATTAGTATAATTTCTGCTTTCTGGTCTTTTGATTCAATTTGCGTAATAATAATAATAATAATAATAATAATAATAATAATAATAATAATAATAATAATAATAATAATAATAGTCACCATTACTATTTGTTATTGCATTGTTTCTTCTGTCAACCATACTGAATAACTCAGGACATGGCTATCAAACATCAAAAACATCTACCAGACTATCCCATCTCCTTTACATGGATGATCTGAAGCTGTATGGAAAAACATCATCTAAAATAGAATCGCTGCTCAATACTGTCCGTATATATAGACAAGATATTGTTATGGAGTTTGGCTTGGACAAATGTGCCACACTTACTATCAAACAAGGAAAAATAGTGAAAACTGAAGGAATCAAGATGCCCCATGAAAATAACATTAAGAGTCTGGATGAGGAAGATTACTGTAAATACTTGGGTATCCTTCAAGCTGACAACATCAAGCACACTGAAGTCAAGAAAAAGATTAGAGGTGAATACATCAAGAGAGTGAAGAAGATCTTAAAGTCCAAACTCAGTGGAGGAAATACCATAAAGGCAATCAACACCTGGGCAATTCCAGTCATTAGATACACAGCTGGAATAGTGGACTGGACTCAAGCAGAACTAAAAGCAATGGATAGGAAGACCAGAAAAATAATGACAATGAATCACGCCCTTCATCCACGCAGTGACATTGACAGACTTTATTTACCAAGGCAAATAAGTGGGTGCGGAATGCTACAAGTACATCAAATGGTTGAAGAAGAAAAAATGGCTTTGGAAGAATATCTGAAGAACAATGATGAAGATGCACTGAAATTAATATATCAGGAAGGCTTACTGATATACTAATTTCCAGGTCCTCCTGTATCTTAAGCCTATCTTCTTGAGTGTTGGCTATTCCTGCCAGCTTGGTGTCATCCACAAATTTGATGAGTTCCCCATCTATTCCCTCGTCCAAATCATTGATGAAGATGTTGAAGAGCACTGGGCCTAGAACAGAGCCCTGGGGGACTCCCTACACCCTTCCCTCCATGTAGATGCAGTTCCACTGAGGACCACATGCTGAGTACGGCTGGTCAGCCAGCTACGAATCCATCTTGTGGTGATGCTGTCTAACCCACATTTTTTCTATCTTATCAAGTAGTAGGTTGTGATCTACTTTATCAAATGCCTTACTGAAGTCCACGTAAATTATATCCACAACATTCCTCTGATCCACTAATTTTGTCACTTGGTCAAAGAATGTAATAAGGTTTGTCTGGCATGATCTGTTTTTGACAAACCCATGTTGGCTTTTAGTAGTGATTTTGTTTGCCTCTAGGTGTTTGCTGATTTGTTGTTTATCTTTTCCAGAATCTTCCCAGGTATTGAGGTCAGGCTGATAAGTCTGTAATTTCCTGAATCCATTTTTTTTCCTTTTTTGAAGATGGGAACTACATCAGCTCTTTTCCAGTCCTCTGGTAGTTCCCCAGTACTCCAAGATTTTTGAAAAATATAGTTCAGTGGTTCTGAGATCACATCTGCCAGTTCCTTGAGAACCTTGGGGTATAATCCATCTGGTCCTGGTGATTTGAACTCGTCTAGGCTGGACAGGCGCTCACTTATCATTTTCTTGCCTATCTTAACTTGTGTTTCTATACTGTTTTTTATGGCATTATTTTTGATAGGTTGGTCTGTTTTTTCCCTTTGTGTAAAGACAGATGCAAAAAATGAGTTAAATAGTTCTTCTTTCTTATTGTCACCTTCTTGCTACTTTCACCCACTAATGGACCAATCGTTTCCTTCACTTTTTTCTTGTTTTTTACATGTTGAAAGAAGCTTTTTTGTTATTTTTTACTTCGGTCACAAACCTTAGTTCATTATGAGCCTTAGCTTTCCTCACTTCATCTTTGCAGGCTCGGGCTATTTGTTTATATTCTTATTTAGTTATGTGCCCCTCTTTCCACTTTCTATACTTGTCCTTTTTATCTTTCTATCTATGAACCATGTATCCCTTTTTATTAGATTAACAAAATAAAAGCTACTGTTTTTGGATTTTAGTTTGAACACCAAGCCAGAAGTAGAATTGTATACAACTAATTAACCTGTTTTCATGATTTGGATTTTGCTGTTCTATTGAAGGTAAATTTCTTCCCATGTGCTCTTATTTCTAAGTTTTAAACTATAGTACAGTTTTCTGAATAGAAAATAACTACAATGCATAGCCACAAGATGGCATCATACTACCATATATATTTAAATAAGGAAAAATATAATAAATTACAGTAATTCTAAACATTTACAGTTTTTTTACAACTGCTTTCAATTATAAAATCTGGAAAACAAATACATTTTAATGCAATATTCTTTCTCAGATAAAAATGAAATCCATTTATTTTTTTCTCTCAACTATTTGCTCAAATGCATTTTAGGATCCTTTGTTTGAAAGGTCTTGAATCTTGAAATAAATTTTGCTTTTATTTGTCTAATACAAAATAATAATTATTCCAAATAACTTTATTTTTTAGTTTCATTTTGCTTTCATATCCTTTTGGAAAACTACAAGAAAACAGTTTGCAAGTTCATTATGGTAGGAGCAGATAGAAATTTGCATTAAAAAAATAGTAGGTCTGAGAGATTTATCACTGAACAAAGTAACTGTGACAATTAACACACATTTCCAAAACTGATTTGCTGAAACAAAGGAAAGTTGAACAGAAAACTAAGAAGCAATGAAAAGTTATTTTGCCAATCCTAAAATAGGTGCCAGAACAAATAAGGATTCATCAGTGAGCAGGCCACCAGCATTTCTCCAGTCTCTAGTCCAATCAATTTCTCAAAACATTGCATAAATCTTTGTTTAAAAGTTTTGAAGGTTTAAAATTATTCAAAATCAATAATCACTGTGTGACTTGTCCCCCAAAACATTTTAAGTTTCTTCATGATCATTAATCCACATGATTATTTTTTAAATATGAAATAACAGAATTGTCAGACGCAAGAAGTCTATTGGTGAAGCACCTGGAATTTAGCACTTTATATATTCAACTGGGTGAGGGCAATTTACATAGGAAGCATCCTATCTAGTTCCCCAAAAATTACTTCAGAAGGCTTTCAGAAGATTGAAAGGTAAAATCTATACAGGAACCAAACACAAAATTCTCCAGAAAGGAAAAAAAAGAAAAAAAAAGGCATAAACTGGGTTTTTCATAGGGAGACCATACATTATTAGCCCAGGAAGCATGGATTGGAAGACAGAATGCCAACTGCCCAGCTCCAAACAATGGCTTGTAGGCTTTCCTATGCGAATCATTACTACGGGTTTGCTTGCTAGTTATACTCCTCTGTCCGGCAACCATAGACTATCAAACCAATCAAACATGCAGTATTATCGGGGACTTTCCTCGCGAATTACGCTACCAATATGCCAGGAGGAAGACAGGAGGCACATTATGGTCTCAAGGGGGTCGGGCTGGGAAGCCTACCCTACCCTTCCTCCTAATTATTGAAGTACGCACTCTTTTACCTAAGGGAAATCCCTGCAATAGGGACAATGCCAGAGCGACCCAGGGAACACAGAAACTCCAGTATGCAGAGGAGAAGTCACGCCTTCTCCGCAATCCTCGGCGCCGCATCCTCGCATGCCAACAAAACGTGCGGGACTGGGTAAGTTCCCTCTCTCCCCTCCACTTTTTCGCACGCGGACGCCAACAAATTCGTTAGTCGCTGCGTCGAATGCCTCTCGTCACAACGGAAAGGGGGAGGGGCGGAGGGAGTACAGTGAAACACGGCGCAGAACTGTTCTGCTGGCGTGTTCGCGTGGCATGGGGCGCTAGGCTGCGTTTCTTACGCAATTGCAAACTATTCGCTATATCATCGTATCTAAAGGCCTAGTTGGTGTATTGGCCATGACTTCTCGGTGTATTGAAATTACCACTACTTTGGGCAGTACATGACTTAATAGGTTTTTGCCTTTTGCTGCACTCTTAGAACGTTCTGTATGTCTTACCCAATTCATTTGTGTAGGTTAAGAAGTTCTGCCTCTGCTAATTGTAGTTTAGCTACGAATCAGTGTCATTTTCAGTAAGAAAGGACACAGTAGCGCAGATCATGGGGGTAGGGGAATGTACCGTGTCTTTAAATGAAGAGGTCTGGAATGGATAGGTGAATTTTTTGCTAGTTAACAAATGTATGTAGGAAACACATCACGTAGTAATGAGGGACTTTGACATCAACTGGGAGACAAACCCTGCATCAAGTGATATAGGTGGTCCTTACTAACAAAATTGCTGACAACTTTGTAATCTGAAAGGTAGAGGGGGGAACTAGAAGGACAGCTATACTGGACCCAATTCTTACTAACAGAAGAAATGATAGAGGGGGTTGAAGTTGAAGGAATTTTGGGGGAGAATGACCATGTCATATTAGATTTCAATATAATACAGACACAAGAAATGGAACATAATCAAACTAGTGTCTTAGACTTTAAAATAACTGATTTCAACAAACATAGAGTTTGGGAAGAAGTCCATGGATGAAGACCCACTCTAAAAAATCCAGTCCAGCATAATACCATTGAAAAAGAAACCAGATAAACTGAAAAACAAAAAGAATAAGTATAAAAAATGGAAAGAGAGACATATTAGTCAGGCAGAATACCAGCATATAGCTCAGATCTGCAAAGATAAAGTGCGGAAAGTTAAGGCTCAAATGAACTTGCAACAAATGTCAAAATTAATTTTTAAAAAAGTTTCTTTTACCATATAAAAACAAGAAAAAAGTTAAGGAAACAATTGGTCCACTAATGGGTGCCGATGGTAAGGAAGTGACTCGCAACAAAGAGAAAGCAGAATTGCTTAATTCTTTCTTTGCATCTGTCTTCATGCAAGAAGAAAAAATAGCCCAACCTACCAGAAACAGAATTGTAAAAGACTAGGAATACTAATTAAATTAGGCAATAAAATGGTAAGAGAACACCTGTCCTCTGTAGACAAATTCAAACAAAACATCCTGATATGTTGCACGACATCACGTGATGTCGCGAGTTTGACATGTCTAATCTAGGAGAACCAAGGAACTATGCAGAGGATGTGATTCCCAAATCTACAAAAAATCTAGAAGCAAGCAAGCAGAAGCCAACATGGGTTTGTCAAAAATGGATCATTCCAAACAAATTGTATTTTATTATTTGACAAAGTGACTAATGGACCAGTGAAATGCTGTGGACATAGTATACTTGGATTTTAGTACACATTTGACAAAGTGGACTACAATATACCTCTTGATAAGGTAGAAAAATGTGGGATAGAGAGCACCATCACCACCACATGAATTTATAACTGGCTGACAAACTGCACTCAAAGTGTAATCCTCAATCTGCATGGAGAGAAGTAAGCAGCAGATAAGCCAGGGTTCTGTTTTAGACCCAGTACTCTTCAACATCTCCATAAGCAAGGGAATAGAAGGGGAATACTTTAAATTTGCCAACGGCACAGGCCGACAGAAATAGTCAACACCCCAGAAGATAGATTCAAGATCCAGAAAGATCTCAATAGACTGGAATACTGGCCCCTATCTAACAAAATGAAATCCAGTGTAGAGAAAAGCAAGGTTTTATATTTAGGCAAGAAAAACCAAATGTACAGATACTGACTAGGTGAAACTTGGCTCAATAGCAGTAATTGTAAGAGGGACCTTGGAGTTCTAATGAATAATCACTGAAATAGAAGCCAGCAGTGTGTGGCAGCACCCAAAAAAAAAAAACCTAATACAATCCTTGGTTGTATAAACAGAGAGAGAGAGGATCAAAATCATGTAAAGTATTAGTACCACTTTATAAATCTTTAGTAAGACCACATCTGAAATACTGCAGCCAGTTTTGGTCATCACATTACAAAAAGGATATTGAGACTTTGGAAAAAGTGCAAAGAAGAGGAACTAAAATGATTAACGGTCTAGAGACAAAAACATTGAATGGTTGCAGGAATTGCGTATAGCTAGTCTAGAGAAAAGGAGCTCTAAGGGTGATCTGATAGCAGTATTCCAGTATTTGAGGGGCTGCCACAAAGAAAAGGGGATCAACTTATTTTCCAAAGCACCAGAAGGCAAGACAAGAAACAATGGATGGAAACTAACCAAGGAGAGAAATAACCTGGAATTAAGGAGAAACTTCTTAACAGTGAGAACAACCAGTGGAACAATTTGCCTTCAGAAATTATAGGTGCTTCATCACTGGAGGTTTTTAACAAAAGACTGGTCAGTAGCTGTTTGAAATAGTATAGGGTCTCTTGCATGAGCAGAGGATTGGACTAGAAGACCTCAAGCTCCCTTCCAACTCTTTATGTTCTATTGTTGACCCGGACTGCACTTTTATAACTAATTATCAGGTTAATATTGGTCACACTGTCCATCTCATGCAGGAAGGAATTAAGAACTGCCCTAAAGACCTGAAGATTTCTACTGGTACTGTATGGCGGAACCACAACTGGCAGCGCCAGTAACCACCAGAGCCCAAGCTAAATTAAAGCTGCAGCTGGGTAGCCAAACTGGAATTGAATTCCGGAAAACTTTTGAAATAGGCGAATGGTTCCAGAAAAATAGACATGTGCACAATCAAGGACGGACTGCCATGGGTGCAGGAAAAGTTATATATATCACCCACCCAAAATCAGCAGGGCATTTTGCATTTGTAAAAATGTTACATTTGATTAAAAGGCAATTTTGGTGGCCATCCATGAAAAAGGACATAGAAAGTTACATGGCCAGCTGCCCAACATGTGCAACTGTTAAGAAGTTGCAAGGGAAATCGCCCAGACTGTTACAACCAGTGGCGAATCCCTCAGCCCCCTGGAAGGAAATAGCCATGGATTTTATAGTGGAATTACCAGAAAGCAATGGAAACACTGTCATCTGGATGGTTATGGACTTGTTTTCCAAACAGGTGCACTTTATCCCTTGCCAAAAGATTCCCACCACAAAAACCTTAGCGAAGCTTTTCATGCAGCACATCTACACACTGCATGGGGCACCCCAACGCATCATATCTGATAGAGGAGTGCAATTTACACCAGCATTTTGGAAGGAATTTTTATCCCTCTTAGGAACCACTCAGGGACTATGATCCAGTCATCATCCTCAATGTAATGGCCAATCAGAATGCTTGAACTCAGTGCTTGAGCAATACTTAAGATGCTTTATTAATTTCCAGCAAACAAATTCCCCTTTTGTAATTCAGTCCTCAAGGTGTGGCTTCTCAATGCCTTCTCCGGAGTCGCCCCATGGCCTCTCTCTGGTTTATTCTCCTAGCTTGTCTTCATTTGTGGGCATCTCTCATTTCCGCCAGCTGTGCATCCTCTGAGTCCGAGCCAGCCTCCCCACCCAGCTGCATCTCATCCTGAGCATGAGATGAAGGGTGTCAGAATCCAATTATATTTCATCTTTAAATTATCAAATATAGAAACTCCCAATTCTGCCTTTCTGGATTCTGCCATAAGAGGGAGAGAAGGGGGAGAACAAAGGGGCTTTATGGCCCTCACTTCCTTCTTTACACTTCAAAGAGCTGAATGCTGAATGTGTGTTTATTGTAACCTCGAAGCGTTAACATACCAAAGGAGGGAAGTTGCCTTTCATGTAGTTATCTGAAGTCTCCATCCAGACGGAAGAAAGAAGAAAGGGAGTGGAATTGTGATACTTGAAACTATCACTGGAAGGGGGGTTGATTGGGTGGGACTACTGGGGAACCCCTTAAAACCTTGAATGGGAGAGCTTGGACCCCAAGTCCTGTCTAGCATGCCTGCAACCATTTTCTCTTAATAAAGGATTCCTGTTGGAAGAATTATTCCAAGAGTTCTGTCTTCTTAAGATGCAAAGTGGGGTGGGTCCTTACATTAGACAGGACTTGCAAAATTAATCCACCTGGAAGGAAGACCCTTGCCGGGGGATTTTGCAAAAATTTACCATGTCAGACAATGGAGCAAGAGAAGGGGAAAACTCCCTGGAAAGAGAGCCGCTGACCCAGTTGGAACCTTGCCAGATGTTGGGATCCGAGAGGCCAGATTCCTCAGGAGAAGAAGTGGTGGAGACACAGGACCACAAGCCTCGCTGGTCGATGGGCGTTGGAAAGAAAAGTGAGTGGGGAAAGGAATCAAGAAAGGTGACCCTGAGACGGGGGACCAAGCAACCAGAATGGAAGCAGGAGATGGAGAAATCCCTGCACGCAAGTGAAGAGGGAGGAAGCTGGGCACCGTACTCAGACTGGATCCTAGAGAAAGCTATTGACCTGATGAAGAGAACTCTCAGCTCCCTAGGAGAGGAGAATACTGAACCCTACGGCCGCCCCAGTTCCTGGAGCCGCAAAGGGAGAGACACCGAGGGGGACATGGAACCTGCAACCCCAGGGACATCTACTGATCCAGGAGCTCCCACCCCCTACCGGACCACAGATGGCAATCTGGACGGAAGGCACTACCACCCACAACAGAGGCACCGATCCATTCCAAGACGTCCACCGTTGGAAGTGAAATTCAAAGGGGAGCCAACACGCTTGGGGTTTTTCCTAACCCAAGTCCTCAGCTACATGGAGGAATATGGGCAGGATATTCCCAGCGACAAAGCCCGCATCCGGATCGTGCAATCTGCCCTGGATGGACCAGCTGCGGATTGGGTAGTGAACTTGCATGACTCCAATGCCCCAGAACTCAGTAACTTCAACCGTTTCATGTCCTCTTTGAGAAGACGATTTGAAGACCCCCTGGCTGATCGCAAAGCCCGTGAAAGAATAACAACGATGAGGCAGGGCAAACGCCCAGTGGCTGAGTATACACAAGAATTCCGGGCCATTGCCAGCAAACTGAATTGGCCAGAAGACATCCTCCTTGGCCATTTCAAAGACGGACTAAACTATGATCTATATGATGCTTGCCTGCCCCGAGGGGACCCACATCGACTTGAGGAATGGTACGTCTTGGCAGAGGAAGCAGAGATCGACATATTGAAGAGGCACCGCCGAGGAAAA